CCTAAATGCTCCTGGGCTGATGGTTTAGACACCAGGAGCTCTGGTTGGTGTTTTTTGGTTGTTGTTGTTTTGTTTGTTTGTTTGTTTTTCCAATTTTTTTTATTGGATATTTTATTTAGCTACATGGTTTCTCAGTCATCCTACTAGATACTCTTTTTTTCTTAACATAATAGAGTGAGCTATTTTTAGTAGACAACCCTATTTCTTCCAAATTTGAAATATCAGAGTGCTTAATCTCTGCAATGTGTTGGAAGAGCTTCCACTTCCAATCCATCTCACATTATTGTCAAAAGAGAGAACCAGAATGAACAGGATGAGTGCTGGCCAGTGATTTTGTCATTTTTATCCTGAATATAATCTGGCAGTTCTTATTTAAGTGACCATGGTATATTCTTAGATCTGTTTTTGTGTTTCCTTTTACCAGTGCTGCCATCTATGGTGTATGATTCATAAACTATAATCTAATTATATTGTTGCTTGTCTAGGAAATGATAAACATTCATATCTTTGGTCTTCTGATAATTTCCTATATTATAAGTGCCTTGAGTTTATGTTAGTTTGGGAACTTTCTGTGGAGAAACAATTTTAGTTTTGTCTTCTGACCCTAAAGGGCTGCCTCCTCATTTCTTGGAAAATCTGTGTTTTCCAATTCTTGCACTCGTCAATGTTTGGATTTTTTAATCCTTAAATGACTGATATGGATTTGGATACTTAACTGGGTTCTCATTTATTATTATCTCTGTGTCCCAATTTGCTTAAATTGTCAGCATTTCAGAGCCTATAAACATTTGAGGGAACTACAATTGAGAGAGTGCCCCAATCAGAATGGCTGATTGCTTTGTGAGATGTTGTCTAGACTGACAATTGAGTAGTGAAGGCTCTTCCACTGAGTGTGGAAGAATCCCTAAGGAAGTGGGCCTGTGCTGGATGAGCCAGCTAGCTGAACATGAGACAGTGACCAAGCAAGAAAGCAGGCCAGGAAGCAGTGTTTGCCTGTGATTTTTTTTCTTTTAGTTTGGAACTTGAGTTTCTAGCATAAGCTTCCAAAATAATGGGATATTGTCTGAAATTACCAGTCAAATAAACCTGTGTTTTACTTGAGACACATGATTATAGGATTTAACTACAACACTTCTAACATGCAAGTTAGAAAAATACAATGGTAAGTAAATCATGACGTTGCAGCTGGACAGAACCTAGGACTACTGTCATTTTCAAGAATGTTGAAAATATAGGATCTTTAGAGGGCAAAAGGCATTGAAATCTGTATTCATCTTAATTAACTGTCCTCATAGAACCCTGAAGATTGGCCTGTTAAGAGGAATGCATGTAAAGGAAATCAATGTCACAGGATTTCAGTGGAAAATAGACTCCATGAAAATTGAGGTACATGTCATTTGTGTGATATTTTGGCCTCAAATCCTTCTCATTTTGCCCATTCTCTGAGATACTGAATAGGTCAGGATTTCAAAGTCAGGGGTTGATACCCTAGGTTGAATTATATATCTTTAGGATAGTTATTACTAGTGACTCATTCAGGAGAACAATGTAAAAACTCAACAAGTGGAGTGGAAATGAATGCAAGTTTGTGGGTTACAGAGAAGAATAACATCAGGTAGTTCCAGATGACTCTCAAGTGCTGAAATAAAAGCAAGAATTGAAATGCAAGGAGATTATCACAATTGAAGAAAAGATCCTTGCTATGGACTTAAAATCTTAGAGTTGCCCTTAGGATAGCACTCTTTCCTTCAAACTCTGCAATAAATGGTGGAGTTAGGCAACCTGAGTTCTAGTCCCAGTAAACAACTTCATGAAAAATGTGCTACAAGTGTTGTCCACCTGTGTTGGGGGCCCATCCTAATTTAGAAGCCAAACTCCACATGACCACTTATGTCCTGTGGACTCTGGAAAAAAGAATGATGCAAAATTTAATATCAAGGATACCTGGTCTGTGGCTCAGATCAACACCATTCCAGCCATCTCTGTGTCTAAGTGTCAGAGCCCCAATTTGACCCCTTGGTGAGTTCATTGCTTAAAGCTAGGATGATGAATCATTAGTTGCATTTTTTGACCACAGGATGTTGAGATACACAGCATATGAGATATTTGCTATGGAGAGCTGCATATCCAGAGTAAAAGTAAAAAAAAATCCAGAAGTATGAGAACTCGCCCCTTAACATTGAAACCACGTGAGTTTGAGACAGAGCCACAGAATTTGCAGTTTATCCTGCTGACTTCTTGCCTTGCTCAATCTAAAGAATGTACCCATTCCTGTCTTTTGGAATGGGAAAGGGCATTCTGTGCCATTTTATGTTGAAAATATAATTTGTTTTCAGACTTTCGAAGGTGTGACAGTTCAAAGGTTGCCTTTAGGGTCAAAAGAGACTTTGGACATTTGAACAGTGTTTAAGTTTTTGCAGATTTAAGGGTCCTTGAAGTTAGATTAAATACATTTTTACCATGGAATGACAATGAGCCTATAGTGACCAAGGTCAGAGCATAGTTAGGTGTATCAAAGAAAATCCAGATAGCATGTTGTCTTTAAACACTCGTCTCCTCTTTGTGTCCTTTGTTTTTGAGAATATGGAGGCTTTGTAGAAGAAGCCCTTCTAGATGTGATTCCTTATTGAGATGGGATTTGAGTGTCTATAGACTTAATCCATTTCCTCTTCTTTCAGTTTATTCTGTAGTGACTGAAAATCATCCTTCAGCTTCCTTCTCATGTCCTTCCTTCCTGTCATGCCTTCCCCATAATAGACTCTGTCCTTAAATCAGAAAAGATGCAGTAGAAGCAATAGCTAGATATTCAGTGCTAAGATATTTATCATATTTTGAAATTAGTTTTTTGTGTTTGAAGACAGTATATCTCTGTGGCCCTCACCATTCTCAAGGTTGGCCTATAGGCCAGACAGGCATTGAACATAGAGATCAAATAGATTGCAGCTTCAAGTGTTGAAATCAAATGTGGGTCAACATGCCCAGCATTTTTTTATTATTGACAGATGGTCCTATAATGTACATGTCTTTATATGTCCAGCATATGCTTTTGTGCTAAACTTCACCTAGATCTTGATTTTTGAAATTTTGCAGAAATGATCATTCTATTTCCCAGAATGGCATGTATTTATGACACCTGTCATGTTTGGTGTGACTTTCTGTTAGGAATACTAGGAGTCTTTTGCCAGGATGCATGATTGTATGCCTCATGTGTGCCCAATCCTCACAGTAGTCAGAAGATGGCCTGTGATCTCCTGAAAGTGGAATAGTGGATAGCTGTAAGTTCCCTGTAATTAGAAGGAAGTGAGCTCACTTATTTACAGGACCAGCAAGAACTCTTCACGAAGCATGTAGCTTTTTAACCACCCCTTTTTAAGCTCCAGACAGGTGCACTAACAGCCCCCAGCCTTATTTTGTTTCGATCCATGGATGTAAGTCTTACACACACACACACATTCACCCCCCCACACACAGGCACACACACAGGCACACAGGCACACACACACACACACACACACATATTAATATTTTGATCTTGACTTATGGCTCAGTGTCTGGGCTTCTCAAACATCCCAGAGCTAGTGTGTCCTTTCCTTAGTCCTTGCTCAACACTCTCAATCTGCACTCACTTTAGTTGTCCAGTTACCTTCTCATTGCCCCGCACCCTAGTTCTGCTCTGAGCTTAGTTGTATTTCAACCTCCCACCTGGGGAAGTGAACAATGACCACTCCATTGGAGATCTCACATGGCTGATGACTCTCTTTCCCTCCAAAGCGAGGTGGATCTCCCTTTCCTGCCCCATTCCTCTCTTTCCTCATGTTAGGGAATCTGGAAGTCCTGCCTCTTCCACTCATCCATTGGCTGCTCCCTGCTGTATTGATCAAACAAACAAACAAAAACAATTAGAGACAAGGACCTTCAGAGTTTACAGGCAGTTTACCAAACAGAGCATCAGAGCCATGCCCTACACTTTACTGCTGAGGTAGATCTCCTTCCCTGTGTTGTTTACAATCTAATATGCATTAGCACTGGCAATATTTTCTTATGTCCAATTGTAACTGTTTAAACATATATTCTCTTTGGTAATATCCTATTAATGTTATAGTTTGGACCAATGTACCTCAGGTTTCAGGAAGATGAATACAGAACTGGATTGTATGAATAACTCTATTAAGAGTTTAAGTAAAGGCTGGAGAGATGGCTCAGCAGTTAATAGCACTGACTGCTCTTCCAAGGGTACTGAGTTCAATTCCAAGCAACCACATAGTGACTCACAACCGTAATGGGATCAGATGCCCTTTTCTCGTATGTCTGAAGAAAGCTGCAGTGTACTCATACATAAATTAATAAATAATACCTTAGAAAAAAGTTAGAACATAAGGAAAAACCTGTATGTTCTTTCTATGTTTTCAGTTTGGTAGGTTAATTTCGTTCAGGGGATACAGGGTCTTAGTATATACCTTTGGCTGTCCTAGAAGTCACTGTGTACATCACACTGGTGTCTGACTCAGTGTGATACTTCTGCCTCTGTCTCCTGACTGTAGTGTTAAAGGCCAAAGCGCAGAAGACCCAGCTTGGTTACTGATGTTTATAGTTAGTAATTGTTAATGTTGATACAATTTCTTTGATATGTGGTAAGCACTATTGATTTTGTAGAGCTTGTCTGTTCTCTATAACTGTAATTGACACTTCTCTAGAAAGCCTGGATCCTATTCAAAAGGCTGAGAAATGAGAGGGGTGAACCTCATTATTAAGTTTCCTTCTAATATGACTTGGTAGCTACAGTAGAACTTTGGTTTCAGGAAATCAGTGAGGCAGGCCCGAGAACTGTATGAATACATTGTATATGAAGAAGACATGCCCAATGTTGTCTCTATTGTGCTTTCTTTTGTACTCGTGTATGTGATATTCTAGAGTGCAGTGACTTATGAGGACGTGGATGTAAACTTCAATGAGGAAGAGTGGGCTTTGCTGGATCCTTCCCAGAAGAAGCTCTACAAAGATGTCATGCTGGAGACCTACAGGAACCTCAGTGCTATAGGTAAGACTGTGAATTCCATTTCCAGATTAAAATTGGAGAAAACAGTTTCTTTCCTTTGTTGCACTTCTGTAATTCAATTGAGATAGATGCAGAATTTGGTATAGAAGTCATACATGATTCAAAGGTCCCCTGAAGATAGTAACTTACATTTTACATAGTGTCCATACATTCATTTTCTTTTACTCTATTTTAGGATTTAATTGGGAAGACCAAAATTTTGAAGAACATTGTCAAAGACCTAGAAGACTCAGAAGGTAATTTGTATGTGGAAGCTCCTACAAATATGCCTTTGAATAAATTTTAAAATTCACTGAGAGCTCTAAGGAAAAGCAAGAGTGTAAATAAGCACAGTGTTGAGTGTATTGATGGTTGTAACATTCTAACAAAATCATGGTCCTCAGTGCCCTATATCTGATTTGTTTTTGCAAGGCATTCCTTTAAGAAAGAGGGCATGGAAACAATGCCTTAGTGTATATCTCCATTTGAACATAGCCCTATTAGAGCAACACTGTACAACTGGCAGTCTGTTTCTGCTTATTTTGTAAAAGCTATACACATTGAATAGTTGATAAATACATGTCCAAAAGCTTCTAAAAAGGAAATAGTCTATAATAAAGCTAATGTTACTCACTTTTTAGTAGTGACATTGCTAAGTTTATTGAGACAGGCACCTTATTGGGAGTAAGAAGGTTGTTGGGCAGTAACCTTGATCCCTACATCACATGTCTATGAGGAACAAAAAATGGAACCTTGTGAATGCAGTGTTCAAAATTTTTCTTTTTAGTCTTCCTTTATGTAAGTATATAATATATCATAATAGATACAAACTGTGTACAAAAGGGATATTGTAGGAAACAATGTCTCTCTGATATCAAGTAGAAGATACATTTTGGATGGCATTTAGTGCAGACTTTTTTTACATGATACAAGTTTACAATTAATTGCTTTTCCAATATCATTGATAATTCATCAGCAACCTCATTCTGTAGAAAATTCTCTTGAGTATTAGGAATATAGAAGTACGACTATTTCTCTTGGTTCATTTTGCAAATATAATATGATGCACAGTAGAGTAAAAATTGGAATCCAATTAGTGGTTTAAAGGTCTGAATTCTTCCACTTTTCATCACGAGTGAGAAAAACCTTTTATTCAAAAGGCATATGGAAAGCTGAGCCGTATAATAAATGTTCATACAATCTCAGGTATCTTTTTTTTTTTTTTTTTTTTTTTTTTTTTGGTTTTTTGAGACAGGGTTTCTCTGTATAGCCCGAGCTGTCCTGGAACTCACTCTGTAGACCAGGCTGGCCTCACAGGTATCTTTGAAAATGAAAAACAACCCATAATGAAGGGGAACAGCATTGTAAACAAAGTGATAAAATCTTAAGGTCTGATTCCTCTTTATATTTAGATAATAGTACCATTAATTCTTACAGACAAAAGTATTCATCAGTGTGGGAAAACTTTCAAATGTGCCAATTTTTTTCTCAGGCATGAAAGAAGTCAGAGTGCAGAGAAACCCTCTGAATATTCACAATGTGGTAAAGCCATTGCTTTACATGCTCACAGTCCTGCTCAAAGGCTTGAAAGTTTTTATACAGAAAAGACACCTCATGAAGATGTTCAGTGTGTGGAAGCCTTTGCACCTTACACAAGTCTCCAGATAAGTAAAAGAACACAAATTGCACAGAAACCCTATGAATGTAATCAATGTGGTAAAGCTTTTGCAAAACACAGTCATCTTAAAAGTCATGAAAGAAATCATACTGGAGCAAAACCCTATATATTTAATCAATGTGAGAAAGCCTTTTCCCAACATCTTAGTCTCCAAAGGCATAAAAGGATTCATACTGGAGAGAAACCCTACAAATGTGATGAATGTTATAAATCTTTTTCACGACGAGATAGGCTCTTAAAACATAAAAGAACTCATACAGGAGAGAAACCCTACAAATGTAATCAATGTCATAAATCCTTTTCCGAAAACAATAGTCTTAAAATTCATAAAAGAATTCATACTGGAGAGAAACCCTACAAATGTGATCAATGTCGTAAAGCTTTTTCCCAAAAATGTAGTCTTCAAATACATAAAAGAATTCATACTGGAGAGAGACCATACAAATGTGATCAGTGTGATATAGCCTTCTCAGGACACAGTAGACTCCAGATGCATAAAAGAATTCATACTGGAGAGAAACTCTACAAATGTAATGAATGTGATAAAGCCTTTTCCCGACACTGTTATCTCAAGATTCATAAAAGAATTCATACTGGAGAGAGACCCTATAAATGTAATCAATGTGATAAAGCCTTTTCTCAAAATGGTACTCTTAAAAGGCATAAAAAAATACATACTAGAGAGATAGCCTTCAAATGTAATCAATGTGATAAAGCCTTTTCCCGATACTGTTATCTCCAGAAGCATAAAAGAACACATACAGGAGAGAAACCCTACAAATGTAATCAATGTGATAAAGCCTTTTCCCGACAGTGTTATCTCCGGAACCATAACAGAATACATACAGGAGAGAAACCCTACAAATGTAATCAATGTGATAAAGCCTTTTCCCAATACTGTAACCTCCAGAAGCATAAAAGAACACATACAGGAGAGAAACCCTACAAATGTAATCAATGTCATAAATCCTTTTCCGAAAACAGTAGTCTTCAAATACATAAAAGAATTCATACAGGAGAGAGACCTTACAAATGTAATCACTGTGATAAAGCCTTTTCCCAAAAAAGTAGTCTTGAAATACATAAAAGAACACATACAGGAGAGAAACCCTACAAATGTAATCAATGTGATAAAGCCTTTTCTCAAAAATGTAGTCTTCGAATACATAAAAGAATTCATACAGGAGAGAGACCCTACAAATGTAATGAATGTGATAAAGTATTTTCACGACACATTAGACTCCAGATGCATAAAAGAATTCATACTGGAGAAGAACTCTAGAAATGTAATCACTGTGGTAAAGCCTTCTTACATCCCTGAAGTCTTCACATTCATGAAAGGATTCATACTGGAGAGAAATTTTACAAATGTAATCAAGGTCACAAAGCCTTTTACTAACATACTAAACTACAAATTCATGAAAGAATTCATACTGGAGCGAAACCCTACAACTGTAATGAATTATATGAATCCTTTTCACTACAAGGTAATCTCAAGAAACATGAAAAACCTCATACTGGAGAGAAACCCTACAAAAGTAATCACAGTGACATATTTTCTCCATCAAGGGAACATTTCCTAAATCTCTCCAAATGACACTACCAACAGAGAAGGATTAATTACTCTGCATTCAAGTCTATCTGCTTGCTTTCTGTTTCATGAGCCAGTTCATGATGAAGAAAAACTCTGTGGGTAAGCATTCAGATGGCTTAACCCTTGCATTATAGTAATGAGTGCTTATACAACAGGAACATCATGGGTAAAATTAGAGGAAGATGTCAAAATCTGACTTTGTTCCTGGGAATGAACTTCTGTTCATTACTTGGTCATGTCTCTTAGCCATCTAAATATTTTAAAGTGTTTTTGCATCATCCTGATGTCAGGAAATAGAAAAAACTCATACAAGAGAAAAATGCTGTCTATGTAAATGACTTGGTTATAGACTGTACATCATAGTAGTTTTCAATTTCAGGAAAAGCATCCTGTTTCATCTCTTCTTCATCATAGCTCTGAAGGAAGTAAATTGTTTCCCATGTTCAGTCAAGTATTTTGGTAGAGATCAGCAATAGTAGTTGTGCCTTGTATTTTCAAACATTTGGAATAGATATTAAAGTTTGTTGTATGCATGGCAAATCCATTTACAGATGTTTACTGGGCTGTTCTTGAGTTACTTCTGTGACTTCTTTTCATCTTTAATTCTACTTTCCTGGTGATGGGTATTTTTCTGCTGCAAAGAATTAAGCTTCTAGAGTCATAGTTCTGAAAAGTACCTCACTGTGGCATGCTGAGGGATTTTGTAATTTCATAGCATGTATTAACAATTCACATCATGTGAATGAGTGCAGAACAGATTTGTGTGCATACAACTGGGGAAGGTAGTTTGATTTAGGGAATGATAGATTTACAAGTAGAGGACACTCCTTGCAGATATGCCCTTTCCACTTTCACAGTTAATTCATGTCAGATGTATGAGACACGGGCCATTGGTTTTAACTGTGCGTATTTGTAATGGTTCTTATACGCTTGACTCAGGGATTGGCACTGTTGGTAGCTGTGGCCTTTTTGGAGGAGGTGAACCTTGTGGATGTGTGCTTTAGTACCCTTGTTTTAGCTGTCTGGGAGCCAGTAGTCTGCTAGCAGGCTTCAGATGAAGATGGAGAACCCTCAGCCCCTCCTGCACCATGCCTGCCTGGATGCAGGTATGCTCCCATCTTGATGATATTGGACTGAACCTATGAACCTGTAAACCATCCACCAGTATATCATGGCCATATAAGAGTTGCTTTGTTCATGGTGTCTATTCGTAGAAGTAAAACTTTAACTAAGACATTTGTATTTTTACTGATCTCAGAAGTTAACATGGTACCTAGGGACAAGGTTAAACAGTACCTTCTTATGCCATTCCCCCTGCAGAGAAATGACCTTCTCTTTTTTAAATTCAGTATGTCTATGTAGATTTCATTTCAGTGATTTTTGTGCTTTTTGAGAGTCAATATTTGATTTCACTTTAAAAAATTTAAAATTCTCCCTGAGATCATAGACTAAAATATATACATTTGATTCTTTACATCACATGATGTTGCTTACTTATTGAAAGAGTAAGTCAAACAACTTTGTTTTGTTCCATTATAGTATAGAAGGGTATACTATACATTCATGGTTTCAAGACAGGGTTTCTCTGTATAGCCCTGGCTCTCCTGGAATTTACTCTGTAGATCAGGTTTCTCTCCAACTCAGAAGTCCACCTGCCTCTGCCTCCCAAGCACTGGAATTAAAGGCATGCACCACCACTGCTCAGCTTATAAGTATATTTTTATACGATTAATTTGTGATTCTATATGACACACAGAAAAGCTCTCATTTATGGAAATATCCAAGAACATGCCAGGTGACAGCTCATATGTACATATTTAAACATTAGGTTTCTGTGGAACTATATTATAGATCATTGTGAGCTGCCACATAAATGCTAGGAATGAAGCCTGGTTCTACAGTTGATGCTCTTAACACCTGAAAGTTCTCTGCAGCCCTCTTACCCACTTTCAATAATGTAAAATATAATACCATACAAAAGGTATTTGGAAAAAGAAGAGCAGCTCTAATAAGATCTGCAAGTGTGTGCACCAGGCTGGTAGTGGTGCACACCTTTAATCCCAGCACTTGGGAGGCAGAGGCAGGCAGATTTCTGAGTGGTCTACAGAGTGAGTTCCAGGACTACACAGAGAAACCCTGTCTCGGGGGAAAAAAAAAAAAGAGCTGCATGCATGTAGTGGAGTTGGTACAAAAGTGAGCCTATGTGTGCTTCAGTGACAGAGGGGGAAGACTAAGGAGACCTAAGGACTTTGTAGTCTAGTCAATTCCATCATAATCTCAAGAAGGTGGACAATGAATTTCATGAGTTTATGTTTGCCTGCTGGATTAGGTCTTGCTTTGGTCTGTTCCATCTTCAATATGCTTTGATGCTGGAAACATAACAGTCTCATTGAAGGTAATGGAAGAATTTGGTACAGTAAGACGCAGGAGTTGAACCAAAAAAAAAAAGAATAAAATAAAATAAAAGAGGCAGGAGTTGAAGCGAGATGTGGTGTTTAAATGGGAATGTCACCCATTGATCACATGTTGAATACTTTTTTCCAGTACCTAGAAGTCTTTCAGAGGAGTAGGGAAGAAGTCAAGGGTAATCATTCTGGGGAATTTGTGTGACATCTACCTCTATATCAAAGGTACAGATGGTTTGCCACTATTAGTAGCAAAAAGCTCACTAGGTAAATAAAATAATCCACTTGTAGCTTTTGGATTCAATGTGGTACTTTATCTACTTCACAGAGGAGCGGGGCTACCTTAATTTCCTATTGATCTATGGATGATTTGTGCTTATTAAAGAGTGAAACTCTCAAGTAGGAGAATTAGCCCCAGTCAGTGAGTTCTCTATTTGGCTAATCAATGCAACATGGGCAGTCCTTGAACTACATTCAAACAACCAATCAAAATACAGTCAACAAGTTTTATTTATGTTTTAGAGTCTTCATAGTCACACGTATGTAACAAGGAAGAAATTGGCAGGGAAAAATTTAGGATGGAGAGGGGAGAAGTAAGGTGATAAATCATTGAAGGACATTTGATTACAGTTCATAGAAAACATAATTGGTAGTGAAATATCGAAGCTTAGGAAGATATTGCCTTTTCAGTTGCAGCTAGGTGTGTCCTTAAACAATAGAGTTTGGGTGTTCCTCTGAAAATCTTAGTAGACAAAAATGCTAAAGAATGGAAAGTTTCTGCCTATTTTAAGGCAGATTGCTTGGGAGGGGTCTTGTGATCTTTATTGGATGACTTGAGGCAAAGTCAGCTTGGATGACATTAAGATGCTCCTAAGTAAAGGTGAAAAGTTTTAGCTCCCTACAGACTTGGCTTGGATCCTCCCACAACCACTACCACTGGGAACTGACCTGCTGCAGCCTGCCAAGTCTGTAGTGAGGCAGACAGAGCTTTCATTTGTAAGAAAAACATATTTGAGAGATTCCTGGTGGGCACTCTCTTTGACTCTATCTTTATCTCTTGGCTTAGAAGAGCATTGTGGATGCAGAGAGGTAAGAAATTGCAGAACAGAGATGAGACAGGATTTGAGGAAAGAGAGCAAAGGAGCCCTCATGGATTTCGATGAGCTCATGACAAATGTAGACTATCTATGTTAAAGTGTATAGATGAAGGAGATGTATTTGCAGCTAGCAGTTTAGTTGTACATGTAAGCTTGTAAATAGGTATTTTGTATATAGTTAAAGTAAATTAAGTTAGCTTACTAGTGTCAGTGGCAGACTTGCTTATACAGTGAAGGCCTCAAAAAGGCCTGAGTCAGACATACATGCCTTCTAACACAATGTCTTGGTCTCTGTGGAAAAACAGAGAACAAATAACTATAGACCTTGTAGGCAAGTAACCTTAGTGGAAATTTACCAGCCTGGATAAGAACAAGTAGTCATAGGTCTTGTGGATGGGTGGCCTTGGTACCACCTTAGATAGAAACAAGTGAACCATAGAGTCTTAGTGACCTGTTCCCTGAACCTTCACCCAGCCAATACCCTGTTCTGGAAGATATCTATACTCTCCCTGAAAACACCTACACTCCTGCATCAACCCCTTCCCCACATCCTCCCTCTATGTGTATATAATCCCTGTGTGAAAAAATTAAAATCATCTGATTGATCAGACTATAGAGAAGCCACTGTTCTTTGCGTACCCCAGTTTTCCTCCATTCTGTCTTTCAGGTGATCTTCCTGGACCCTGTTCACTGCCCTGCTGGACGGGAAACACTGGACTTGCATGTTTTTACCAAACCTCCCACCTCATTTGTCATTATTGGGAATATATATTAGAGAAATGTAAAAAGGTAAAGGTTACAGGATGTGATCTATTATATTCTAATTCAAATGCATAAGAATTAATTTTAAATGAAAAATATAATAAATACAGAGATAGTTTAGTTATGAGCATTGGATGTTGTTACAGATGATGACACAGGTTGCATTCCCAGAAACCACATGGCATTAATCCAGCTGCTGTAACTGCAATCCCAAGGGATCTAATGCCCTCTTCTGACCACTGTAGGTCCTGTGCACAGACATGTGCCAGCAAAACACTCACATACATAAAATAAAAATAAAGTATAAAATATGGACTCTTCTACAGGGATGTTATACTTGAGACACACAACATTCAGGATGCACCTCTCTGTGGTCCTTCAGGGCAGCAGCTTTGGCCTTCTTCTGAACCAAGTTGCTCGGTAAGAAAAGCAACCTTATTCTTAGGTTAGACTAGCTCAGCAGGCCAGTTTGTGTAAGAACAGTAACCACAGTGCTGTCAGGTGATGTTTCCATGATATTTTCTGTATCTGTTGTCTCTGTTCATTGTATATGGGAGAGTTGTGGCATTGATACATATTTTAAATCTTCTTTTAAATCATACATTATGGACTACAAGATAGTTTTGCTGTGTAAGTCTCCATCTGACTCAGTGACTGACCTTGCAATGTTCTGTCCCCATTTAAATTGTTCAAAGTATAACTTGGGGTCAGAAGCTAAAAGAGACTTATGGATGACAATATATTTGGAACTAAAACTTTGTTCTAGGCTGGCTCTTCTTTGGTCAATAGTCAGAGGTGAATGAGTGATCTGTTCCTGGAAAGGCTGATAATTCTATACCAGCTGTACATCCAGACTTTTAGAAAATTATTTCTGAGTCAGAGTTTTCTATGGTGAGTGACATAGCCCTCATTCCACTCTGTTATTTATGAGGGCAGTAACATTACCATCCTGCTGTTTAAACCAAGTAAATTCTTAAGTTTACATCTGTACCACCACTGTATTTTAAAATTACACATGCGTCATGTAATCAACTGTTTATTGCACCAAGAGGAAAAGATTTCCATGAGGGGCATAGCTTCTGTATTCACACCAGAATTGGAAGAAGTTTATTGTGTACAGTACTAGGGGAAACAGGGTAGGCAATTAGCTGCTGGAGTTGCCATAATGAGAAAGGACCTGATACTGGCAGGGAGGTGGTTTTATAATATTGCAGCATGTATTAATTCATGCTGGGTAAATAAAAACAGACTAGATTGGTGGGTGTATGATTTGTGATGACAGTTAAGCCAATGAATACTCAAATTGCAGTTAGGTTAGTGTCCTATGGAGATATGTGCAATCTTCATTGACATGGTTAAATCAGCTTAGAAGTGTGAAACACAGGCCTTCATTGGCTGTAGTTGTGTGTGTGGTTACAGGTCTCAGCAGCATCAATCCACATAAAGGCTAATTTAAACAGTATTTGAAAAATTGTATTCCTTCTACCAGAAAATAGTCTACACTTTTTAAAGTCAGAATGGCTATATGTTTTTTCAATTATATTTATGTTTGTAAAAAGTCAATCACTGGTTCTTTTTAAATGCAGCACTGCTCTGATTTTTTACTTGTTTCTATTCTGTGATGTTTCCCAGGCATAAGAATTTCTTTCCACTTTTTACAAGTGCTGCTTTGGACAAGGTCTCCTGAACCCCAGGCTGGCTCATACTTTGTAATTGAGAATTGCTTTGAACATCTAATGCTGGCTCTAAGGCCACAAGAGAGGAAGACAGTCCGGCATCTTTTCCAGGCTGGGCTTTGAGGGTCAAAGTTTTCCGTTTTGGCAGTACTTGACAGTATCAGTGCATAGTGAGGTCATCAGTTTTCCATATCGATAATCACCTTGACTGGTCATTAGTCTGGTCCACAGACAATTAAGATTCTGGATAAAGAATTGAACTTACTGTCAACTGTTGTTGAGACTAATGCGACCTGTTCAAATTACTGAAGTTATGTGTGTTCAGTTACCTAAAACCTAACAGATTGCTGGGTGATGGTGCCGCACGCCTTTAATTCCAGCGCTTGGGAGGCAGAGGCAGGCAGATTTCTGAGTTTGAGGCCAGCCTGGTCTACAGAGTGAGTTCCAAGACAGCCAGGGCTACACAGAGAAACCCTGTCTCTAAAAACCAAAAGAAAAAAAACCAAAACAAACAAACAAACAAACAAAAACAGATAGGCACTGTGAGGGAGTTTTATTATTTGCAACATTTAAGATGGGGAAATTCTTTAATCTGCAGGTTTTGATTGACAAGAAAAGTTAATCTTGGCTACAGTTTATAGTGAGAGCTTATATACGTAAAGTATATTGAAGATGGAAGTTCTTTCTCTTTCTCTTCTTGCCACATGCTGGCTAACCAGGTCATTTTATTTCTCTGGCATTAGAGGTTCCTTCTTTGGAATTCTGGTCCATGCTGAAGATCAGCTGAGACATAGAAGCACTCCTCTATTCTTCAACTTTCTGTTGGTTCACAGCCTTTGTTTTACTAGCTGGACCACATTCTCTAAGCTAGAGTATATATCCACTTTCTGCATACATAGAGAGTTCCATGCTGTGAGTTCTGTTCATCTGGAACACCATTACTAATACAGATAAGATTTTTCACCTTCCCACCGAGGAAGATGTGCTGGCTAACATAGTGCTCCATAGTGATTGACACCCATTCCTTGCTTTTCTCCCAGGGTTGTTTGGAGTCTCATATGTAGCAGTTGAATATTAGCTGCAGTTTTCCTGAAGTCAGTATAAAATCAGAGAAACAAACATCACATTTTGTGTCCTAAAATCTTCCTTAATTGTTAATATCCTTGGGAGCTATAGTTTACAATCCTCCAAGTTGAATAACTTACAGTGATTCCTCAGAAGAGGATGGTGCAGGGCGAGGAGGAGGAAGGGTGGTAGCAGCTGTGGAGGAGCTGGAAGAAGAAATTCCTGCTGTGTTCTGAAAGTCAGAAAGGTAGACTATTGGAGGACAGGACTGAAACAAAAATCTCACAGATCTCAACAGGGTCAGCTCCTGGACTAGAATCCTGGGTCAGGAATCTCTATGCTGTGTGCCTTCAGAACACTCTAACCCTAAGGGAGGTGGTCATATCAATCAAGATTCACTAGCCAGTGAGGGAATCCAGACAGGCCCTCCAGTAGAATTAGAGTATTGTTCAAGGTGCCTTGGCCCCTCTATTGGTTCATCTAGGTTGCTGAGTAGGCTTGAATGATTCGTCTGATGTATTTTGATCTCTGCTGCTTTGTGCCTAAGAAGAGTGCCAGTGGTCTGCAAAGTGGCTACTTCGTGAGCAGGAGACCACTTCCTGTAACCAGAAAAGGCAGGTGGATAAGCACCTGGAGTCGGGGTAGTGAGATGCAGGGGTCCAGCCCTGGCCTTTCTTCTAAGTTCCTCTTGAATCAGTGGAAGGGGAAGAGTGTCTGCATGGGCAAGACTTGGTCTTCAGAGATATTTAGGGTTGCTGTTTAGTATTAAGACATTTACCTATTTTAAGTGAAGTGACTTTGCAGCTGTAGCTGTCCTCCCCAAGATTCTCTGAGGCCAGGCCAGAAGCTGCAATCTCTGGTATTTAGCACCTCATCTTAAAACAACAGGAGATTAAGTAAGTAGCCTTTGCTCTATCTCCACAGTAACTGGGCTGCTCTAACTTCCAGCCTGCTAGTTGAAATCACAGGAAGAAAAGTTGGACACTTTGAAACATCATTTTCATCTTTATTTCTAAGTTCTTCTAAAAAGTTTCCCATGAAATGTCTCTAAGAAAAGGGAATCGGGTAATTAAGTAAAGGATTAGTTGCTAGAGCCTTTTTCCTCTTGTCCAGATGCCTTTCATTTGTTAGTCTGGGGGAGTTTGGAGCAAGAAACTTTGTTGATCCAAGAGAAGAGAGTCAGCCTCACAGAAGTAAAGACTTTCACACAAGCAAATATGGATAAACTCACATAACTTCATATACAAATTCATACACCTTTTGGAGGGTAGGTTGATCCAATGTACACTGAATTTCCAACTAGATCGGACTCCTTTGCAGATGTGTCCAATCCACTTGCACAGTTACTTCAGCTCAGAGGGATGAGAAGGCTGCCATTAGTTTCAGGTGTGTGTTAGGTTTCAGAAGCTCACATTGTACATAGTAGGGAAGTTAAACTGTCTGTATCTTATGCCATTCTCTCTAACATTCTGCACTGTTTCAGAATCGGTACTTATACTTTCTCCTTTACCAATAATGAGACCAACACCAAATGGCTTCTCAGCTCTCTCTTCTGTAGAAGATTCTGATGCTAGGAATATTTGCCCAAAGGCACATGATTAAATACATACTGCTATCTATTATACTTTTAATATGTTTTATACAGTATAGTGTGCTTAGTGAATCAAAGTCAGCTGGGCATCTAAATCAGACCCTGTCTCAAACAAAGGAAATAATCAGAATTGTATTTGTGATAGGCTTTCAGATTCCAGTTTTTCTTTCTTTTACGAATTAATCTTAATATTAAAATTCGATTCCAAGTTAAAAGTCACCTTCTTTTTTTTACTTGTTCTTTTTTATTTTTTATTTTTTTGTGAAAACTATCCTTTTTTTAAAAAAATAATTTATTTTTTCTCAAATCGTAATTCATTCACACAGGGGTTATAAACACAGAAATGCAAGATGTGGGGAAGGGAATGACACTGGAGTGTGGCTGTTCAGGGGGAATACAGATATCGTTCAGAACCGGGTATCGGATGGGTGAAGGTTCAGGGGACAAGTCACTATGACTCTGCCTATGACTCGCTTGTCCTTATCTAAGTTGGTATTGTCTGCCAAGACTACCTATTTACAAGGTTTATGGCTACTCAGGCTTGTAAATTTCCACAAAAGCTGCCAGTTTGGATTAGCTTATAACAATCTGTTTCAATGTTTTTCCACTGAGACCCAAGACTTGGTGTTAGTATACATGTATGACAGGCCTATTGCTGATTTTAGGCCTGTGGCTGATTTTAGGCCTTCAGTGTGTAAGCAGGGCTGCCCCTGATATCTCCTCCCTTCTCTAAGTATAGAAGGGCTGTGGCAATTCTAATCTTGCGAAGGCGGGGATAGAGGCCTGACCTCCAGTAATTGAAGGGGACCTTGTAGTGGTTCCAATTGCCCTGTCGTTGTCCAGTGAGGCATGAGGGCCATACCCATCCTGTTGTCTTTTTACTGTAGAGGGGATACTTTTGACATCAACTCCTATGCAGTCAGGCTTGTCCCTCAGGGAGCCCAGAGAGATATGTTTATCTTTTATTTATATTCCCTTGCAGTGCTTAGCCTCACAGCCTAAGCAAGAATTCAGATCGCCTGTTTTTTCTTGTTCTTTATCATCTTGTGATTTCCGCATCACAGATGGTTTCCAATGTTCCCGGTATGTTTTGATAACTGGGTGATAGTGAACTAAGTTATTAACCTTTGTAAGCACATGCTATCGTTCCTAGGCCTTGAGCTTGAATATGAAAGTACTGCTCTGCTTTTCAATAAATCGATTTCTTTTTATTTAGTCAGTTTACATCCTGCTCTCTACCCTCCTCCCCATTACCCCCCTCGGAATTCTTTCTTCAGCTCCACCTTTCTTCTTCTCTGAGTAGATGGGCCACATTGTATTACCTAGATCTTCTAGGACTAGTGTATTATCTTGGTTTCACAGTAAGTTAAAATTTTTATTCAGATTCCTGATTGCCTGGTATGTGGTCCCAAGAATTTCTAGTCAGACTCTTATCAATCATCTAAAATTGATCACCTCACTGTTCATTTGTAATATTAAGTACTGTCAAGGCAGCAAAGTTATCTACTTCCTTTTGTCATGTCCCTTTCTAGGCTGTGACGACACCACTTTCAAAGTTCCTGGACTTGAATCCTGGGCATTGCAACTCTATTCTGTGTGCCTTCAGCACACTGTAACCCTAAGGAAAGTGCTCTTGTCATGAGCTGGAAAGAACTCCAATATTAAGCTGTGCTGAGAAGAGTAGAACCGATGATGTAAGAGATTTTTCAAAGCTCAGGAAATTGTAAGTCACACCACAAAAAATTCACCTGAGGGAGGATTGCCTCTAAAACCTGCGTAATGCCCGCCTCACTGATAAGGAAGACGCCACACACGATGAATTCTTCTGACACACGGTTTATTACAGCTCTTTTAGGTTCCAGGCAAGAGGGCCCTGAACTGCAGAAAAGTGGCAGCTTATATAGCCCAAGAAGTCCCAGCCCCCGGATCCTGGATGGTCAGTCAGTGCTCGGAACATGGTGTGTCTAATCTGGATTGGTCCCTGGCATAAGCCTAAATTAGCATAAGAGGCGCGTGTGCGGCTCGAGGATGCGCACTAGTATCCAGGCCTTCTGTGAGGAACCCGGAAGCAGTCGCCGTCGCCATCTCGTTATGGCGATTGCGGCTCCCAACAAAAACCCATTACAGGTAAGTAGTATGCTAGCCAGGCCTCTTAGAGATTGGGATGCTAGGATACACATGTTTGTTCACCAGGATTGTCCAGAAATGTGGCTCTAGATCAAGACAAATGAGACAACCCCGATTAACAACCAGCCACTAGGCCCTTACCCAGATCAAAGACCAGGTCTCTAAGAAGCTCTCCAGCTTTCAGGCTTTCCCTAAGACCGTGAGGTATTGGTAAAAATCACAGAGCTCATTTTCTAAAACCAGGCAGATGACTGGGAGTGCTGGGACAGGTCTAGGGACAAGGTCTTTGGAGAGGAGTTGCGTCAGATTCTGAGAATCCAGCACTTCCTACCTCATAGAGTTTATTTGTATCAGTTCCAAATCCACAGTAGGCAAGATCAGCAGTTTTGGTGGATATGCTGTGTTTCACTTGAGCAGCATTGGTTGGTTAGATTACTTCTTAGTTTGTCCAATTCTATGGTAGTTTCTTTTTTTTTTCCCAAAGATTTATTTATTTATTTTATGTATGTGAATACACTGTCACTGTCTTCAGACAAACCAGAAGAGGGCATTGGATCCATTACAGACGGTTGTGAGCCATGATGTGGATGCTGGTAATTGAACTCAGGACCTCTGGAAGAGCAGTTATTGCTCTTAACCGCTGAGCCATCTCTCCACTTCCTATGGCAGTTTCTTAATGGAAGTATCCCTTTTCTATCCATTTTCCTCCTGTAAGTAGTGTAAGTGCTACTATTCTTAAGATGATTACTTAGCATAAGCCTTAGGTCCTGGCATCTTAACACAGATTTTAAACTTTCTACCTTCCATTTTCCTATCTTTGTCTCCTGTGAGACCTTCCCATAGAACTCTTTTATTGCAGAATTACCTGCTGTTTCAGGACACTGGTATACTTAAGAAATAATTCTGGAATACCTTTGCTATGTAAACCTCCCAGCTGAGAAGTAACTAAAGAAAGTATTCTCCACACCATTCGTAAATTGTTCACACTATAACCTACAGTGTCAATCTAAAAGACACATAAGGGAGACAGCATTTGTGGAATCCAAAATCTCTTCAAGCCTGGTTCCTCTTTCTTCATTAACCAGAACTGGATGAGTGCTATTGTTACAGACAGATTTTCTCCTAATTAGAATTTTATTTGTGTGCTGTCTGGTTTCCTCTCTGGGAAGATATATTAATTCTAGAACAGTTAGATATTCATCCCTTTAGAAAAATGTTTCTGACACAGATCGTGTTGCCTCAGGAACACTGGCACTGATCCCAGTGTATTGTTCCACAGGAGCAAGTATGATGATAAAGTTTTTAAATTACCCATTTGAGTCATGGAATGAAGTGTACATTTCTGTAACAGGGAAAGGATTTGCATGTGAAGCACGGCTTCTGCCCTCAGACCAGAATAGGAGGAACAGTGTCCTGTGTACAGTGCACAGTGAAACAGGGTAGGCAATGCCTACATCACAGACTAACTCAGGTGTAAGGCACTCAGCTGCAGGGCTCACTGTTATGAAGAAGGGTCAGATTGACACAGACTGGGTGATTTTGTAATTTCCTAGCAAGTGTTCAAATGCATAAATTCTAATATAAACACACAAGATTGGTGGGTGTACAATTAGGAGATATTGGGTTGATCCAGTGAATATTGAATTTCCAGTTAGGATAACGTACTATGTGGATATGTGCAGTCCTCATTGACATAATTAAATAGCTCAGATTTTTGAGACACAGGCCATTGATTGGCTGCAGCTGTGTGTGTCACGTTACAGGACTCTGCAGCTACCATTCCACATAAGGGCAAGGTCAAAACGTATTTTATTAATGGCATTCCCTTTGCCAGGTAATGGCCTGCTCTTTTTCAATGTCTTAATTAATCTTTTAATTGTGTGTTGTGTAACCCCCAGCCTAGAGGAAAACATTAATTTTAGAGGAGTTGCCTATTAGAAAAATAGGCTTTCTCTTCTTGACCTGAAAGGATTGCCTCTCCTTATTTCTTGGAAAATCTGTTTTCTAGTCTTATAATCATCAGAGTTGGATTTTTACTACTTAAGTGACTAATATGGTTAACAAGTTGGTTTCCATTTTTTATTCAAACTTTCTCACATATTATTTATTGTCTCTGTCTCCTAACTGCTTAAGTTGTCAGCATTTCAGAGCCTACAATCATCTGAGGGAGTATCAATTGAGGGCCTCCCATAATCAGAATGGCTGGTTGCTAACTTTCTCAGATGTTGTCTAGACTGACAATTGAGTAGTGAAGGCTCTTCCTCTGAGTGTCGAAGAATCCCTAGGGCAGTGGGCCTGGGCTGGATGAGAGAGCCAGCTGAACATGAGACAGTGACCAAGCAAGAGAACAGGCCTGGAAACATCGTTTGTCCATGGTTTTTGCTTTATTTTCTAGCTTGAGTTTCTATCCTGAGCTCCCAAAATAATGGAATGTGGTCTGAAAGAACCAGCCAAATAATCTGTTTGTTACTTAATACACTTTTGGTTTGACGATTTAATCATAACAGTTCTAACAAGCAAGTTAGAAAATTAAAATAGTAAGCAAAAAGTGATTTTGCTACTGGACAGAACCTGGGAAAGCTGTCTTTTCAAGCAATGTTGAAAATTGCCTGTAGATGGAAAAAGACATTGAAAGGTATCTTCCTCTTACTTAGCTGTCCTCGTAGAACCAGGAAGATTGGCATGTTGAGAGTAATGCATGCAAAGAAAATCAATGTCATAGGATTCCAGTGGAAAGTAGACTCCATGAAAAATTAAGCTACAGGTCATTTGTATAATATTCTGGCCCCAAATCTTTGTTAATATGCCCATGCCCTGGGATATTGAGTAGGGCCGAATTAAAAAGCAAGGTGTTGATTTTTTAGATGGAATAATATACCTTTACAATGGTTATTTCTGGTGACTCATTCAGGAGCACAGTGGGAAAAAAAATCAACAAATGGGGGGGAAATGAAAGGAAAGTTTGTAGGTTTTGGAGAAGAACAACACCAGGTAGTCTCAGATGACTATCAAGTGCTGAAACAGGAGCATCAATTAAATGCAAGGAGATTATCACCATTAAAGAGAAAATCCTTGCTATGGATATGAAATCTTGAGAAGGTGCCATAAGAGTAACACTCTTTCAAGCTAACCCCACAATTTATGGAAGGAGTAGGCAAAGTGATTACTAGTCCCAGTAACCAACTTCACATAAAACCTGATACAGCTGTGGTCTACCTATGTTGGGGTCCATCACAATTGAGAAGACAAACTCAGGAGAACAACCCATGTCTTGTGGGCTCTGGAAACAAGAATGATGCAAACATTTCCAGTCATGAATGCTTGGTCTGTGGTTTCAATTCAACACTGTTCCAGTCATTTGTGTTTGGCAGAGTCAGAGCCCCGTTGAATAGACTGGATGAGTTCATTGCTTGAAGCTATGAGGAGGAAGCCTCAGTTGCGTTTTCAGACCATAAGATGTTGAGATACCCAACAATTGAGACATCTGCTGTGGAGAGCTGCATATCCAGAGTGGAAGTAACCAAACCAAGAGATGTATGAGAAGCTGCCCCTTAAAATTGAAGCCACTGGTATCTGAGTCAGAGCTGTAGAGTTTGCTGTTTTTCCTGCTGGCTTCTTGCCTTGCTCCAATCGTCCCTATGTAATCACCGATTCCTGTCTATTTGAATGGGAAGTGATATTCTGTGCCATTGTATGTTGTAAAGATAAAACTTGTTTTCTGATTTTAGAATGTGTGCCAGTCCAAAGATTGCCTTGAGTGTCAAAAGAAACTTTGGACATTTAAACAGTGTATGGGCTGTTGCAGAATTTAAGGATCCTTGAAGTTAGAGTAAATGCATTTTTATCATGGAATGACCATGAGCCTATATTGACCATGGTCAGAGCATAGTTGGTTGTAACAAAGAGCTTCCAGATAGCATGTTGTCTTTAAACACTTGTCCCATCTTGGTGACTTCCATGAGGAGAATATGAAAGCTTTCATAGAAGCTCTTCAGGATGTATGTAATTCCTTATTCAGATGGGATTTGAGTGTCTATAGACTTAATCCATTTCCTCCTTTCTCTCTCTTCTGTTTTGGCTGAAACTCATCCTTCAGCTTTCTTCTCATACTGTCATGCCTTCACCATAAGAAACTCTATCCAAGATACAATACAAGCATTTGCTATTCAGTTCTAAAGTATTTATTTTTATTTTAATTTTTATTATTCATTCCATTCATTTACATCTCAAATGATACACCCCTTCCAGGCAGGTTACCCTTCCATTACCCTCCCATCCTATCTGCCCTGTGGTTCCTCCCCACTTCTTCTATGGAGTGGTCCCCCAACTACCCACTCACTCACACCCAAACACTCCAGCTTCCCCCCATGATGAGACATCAAACCTCCACAGGACCAAAAGCCTCCCTTCCCATTGATGTCAGACAAGGTCATCCTCTACTACATATGTATCTGGAACCATGGATTCCTCCATGTACACTCTTTAGTTGGTGGTCTAGTCCCTGGGAGCTCTGCGTGGACCCGACAGCCAACACTGTTCTTCCTATGGGCTTGTAGCCCCCCTCTTATGTATACTATCATATCATCTTTGAATAGTGATATCTTGACTTCCTCCTTCCCAATTTGAATCTCTTTGATCTTCCTCTGTTGTCTAATTGCTCTGGTAGAACTTTGAGTACTATACTGAATAGATAGGGGGAGAGTGGTCAGCCTTGTCTTGTCCCTGATTTTAGTGGGATTGCTTTGAGTTTCCATTTAGTTTGATGTTGGTTATAAGTTTTCTGTATGTTGCTTTTAGTATAGTTAGATATGAACCTTGAATTCCTGCTCTGTTCAATACTTTTGACATGGAAGAGTTTTGTATTTTGTCAAAGGCTTTTTTCTGCATCTAATGAGATGATTATGTGGGGTTTTTTTCTTTTGAGTTTGTTTATATGGTGGATTATGATGAAGGATTTCCATATATTGAAGCATCCCTGCATCCCTAGGATGAAGCCTAATTCATCATGATGAATGTTTATTTTGTTTTGATGTGTTCTTAGATTGCATTGATATTCATAAGGGAAATTGGTCTGAAGTTGTCGTTTTTTTTGTTGGGTTTGTGTGTGGTTTAGGTATCAGTGTAACTGTGGCTTCCTAGAAAGAATTGGGTAGTGTTCCTTCTGTTTCTATTTTGTGGAATAGTTTGGAGACAATTGATATTAGGCCTTCCTTGAAAGTCTGATAGAATTCTGCACCAAAACCATCTGGTCCTGGGCTTTTCTTGGTGAGGAGACTTTTAATGACTGCTGCTATTTCTTTAGGGGTTGTGGGACTGTTTAGATGGTTTATCTGCTCCTGATTTAACTTTGGTACCTCATATCTGTCTAGAAAGGTGTCCATTTCATTCAGATTTTCCAGTTTTGTTGAGTATAGTCTGTTTTAGTAGGTTCTGATGATTTTTTGAATTTCCTCAGTTTCTGTTGTTATGTCTCCCTTTTCAGTTCTGATTTTATTAATTTGTATAGTGTCTCTTTGCCCTCTGGTTAATCTGGCTAAGGGTTTATCTATCTTGTTGAATTTCTCCAAGAACCAGCTCCTGGTTTTGTTTATTTTTTGTATAGTTCTTTTTGTTTCTACTTGTTTGATTTCAGCCCTGAGTTTGATTATTGCCTGCCATCTACTCCTCTTGGGTGTATTTGCCTGTTTTTGTTCTAATGTTTTCAGGTGTGCTGTCAAGTTGTTAGTGTATGCTCTCTCCAGTTTCATTTTGTAGGCTCTTAGAACTATGAGTTTTCCTCTTAGCCCTGCTTTCATGGAGTCCCACAAGGTTTGGTATGATGTGTCCTCATTTTCATTAAATTCTAAAAAATCTTTGATTTCTTTCTTTATTTCTTCCTTGACCAAGTCATCATTGAGTAGAGCATTGTTCAGTTTCCACGTGTATGTGGGCTTTCCATTGTTTTTGTATTTATGGAAGACCAGCTTTAGTCCGTGTTCTGATAGGATGCAAGGGATTATTTCAATCTTTTTGTATCTGTTGAGACCTGTATTGTGTCCAATTATATGGTCTATTTTGGAGAAGGTACCATGAGGTGCTGAGAAAAAGGTATATTCTTTTGTTTTAGTATGAAATTTTCTATAGATATCTGTTAAATCAATTTGGTTCATAAATTCTGTTAATTTCATTTGTGTCTCTGTTTAGCTTCTGTTTCCATGATCTCTCATTGATGAGAGTGGGGTGTTAAAATCCCCCACTATTATTGTGTGGGGTACAATGTGTGCTTTGAGCTTTAGTAAAATTTATTTTATGTATGTGGGTGCTCTTGCATTTGGAGCATAGATGCTTAGAATTGAGAGTTCATCTTGGTAGATTTTTCATTTGATGAGTATGAAGTGTCCTTCCTTATCTTTTTTGATTACTTTTGGTTGAAAGTCAATTTTATTTGATCTTAGAATGGCTACTCCAGCTTGTTTCTTAGGACCATTTTCTTGGAGAATTGTTTTCCATCCTTTTACTCTGAGGTAGTGTCTGTCTTTGTCATTGAGGCATGTTTCCTGTATGTAGCAAAATTTTGGGTCCTGTTTATGTATCCAGTATGATAGACTACATCTTTTTATAGGGGAGTTGAGTCCATTGATGTTAAGAGATATTAAGGAAAAATGATTGTTGCTTCCTGTTATTTTAGTTATTAGAGGTGGAATTATGTTTGTGTAGCTATCTTTGGTTAGGGTTGTTGGAAGATTACTTTCTTGCTTTGTCTAGGTTGTAGTTTCCCTCCTTGTGTGGGAGTTTTCCCTCTATTATCCTTTGTAGTGCTGGCCTTGTGGGAAGATATTCTGCAAATTTGATTTTGTCATGGAATATCCTGTTTTCTCCATCTATGGTAATTGAGAGTTTTGCTGGATATAGTAGTCTGGGCTGCCATTTGTGTTCTCTTAGGGTCTGTATGATATCTGTCCAGGATCTTCTGGCTTTTATACTCTCTGGTGGGAAGTCTGCTATAATTCTTAGAGGTCTGCCTTTATATGTTACGTGACCTTTTTCCCTTACTGCTTTTAGTATTTTTTCTTTGTTTTGTGCACTTGATGTTTTGATTATTATGTGATGGGAGATATTTCTTTTCTGGTCTAGTTTATTTGGGTTCTGTAGGCTTCTAGTATGTTCATGGACATCTCTTTCTTTAGTCAGGGAAGTTTTACTCTATAATTTTGTTGAAGATGTTTACTGGTCCTTTAAGTTGGGAATCTTCACTCTCATCTATACCTATTATCCTTAGGTTTGGTCTTCTCATTGTGCCCTGGATTTCCTGGATGTTTTGGGCTTGGAGATTTTTTCATTTTTCATTTTCTTTGACAATTGTGTCAATGTTTTTCATGGTATCTTCTGCACATTAGATTCTCTCTTCTATCTCCTTTTTTTTGTTAGTTATCTCTTTCTTTCTTTCTTTCTTTCTTTTTTTTTTAAATTTATTATATAATTTATTTTTTTCAAATTGTAATTTATACTCATTCACACAGGGGTTATAAACACAAAAAGGCAGGACGTGGGGAAGGGGATGACAATGAAGCGTGGGTGTTAAGGGGGAATACAGATATCTTTCAGAACCGGGTATCGGCTGGGTGAGGGTTCAGGGGACAGGTTGCTATGACTCTGCCTTTGATTCGCTTGTCCTCATCTAAGTTGGTATTGTCTGCCAAGGCTACCTATTTACAAGGTCTATGACTACTCAGACTGGTAAATTGTCACAAAACTGCCTGTTTACAATAACTTATAGCCATCTGTTTCAGTGTTTATCCATAGAGACCCAAGACTTGGTGTTAGTATACATGTATGACAGGCCTATTGCTGATTTTAGGCCTATGGCTGATTTTAGGCCTTCAGTGTGTAAGCAGGGCTGCTCCTGACATCTCCTCCCTTCTCTAACTATTGAAGGGCTGTGGCAATTCTAATCTTGCGAAGGCGGGGATAGAGGCCTGACCTCCAGTAATTGAAGGGGACCTTGTAGTGATTCCAGTCGCCCTGTCGTTGTCCAGTGAGGCATGAGGGCATACCCATCCCGATGTCTTTTTACTGGAGAGGGGATACTTTTGACATCAACTCCTATGCAGTCAGGCTTGTCCCTCAGGGAACCCAGAGAGATATTTTTAACTTTTATTGGTATTCCCTTGCAGAGCTTAGCCTCACAGCCTAAGCAAGAATTGAGGTCGCCTGTCAAAGGGGGTTCTGAGTGCCCCCTCTCTGCTTGGTCTAGGGGCGGAAGTCCCCTCTTTTCGGTTGGGTGGAGACAGGTTTTGGGAACACCCTGGATAAAGTAACAACCTCATCTTGAGTCTCATGGTCCTACATAGCTAACTTATGATAATGTATCTGAATAGGTTTTGCTACCAAATTATTAATCTGTTGTTTCACAGAGTTAGTCAGCCTATTTGAGGCCCAGGGAACAGCAGAAATAAGCAAAAATAACCCAAATAATGGTCCCAAGATGGGAGGAAGTAGGGTTGACAACCTTGGAGAGGCTGAAAACCATTTCTTGTACCAGCATTCATCTGTCTCTTTCTCTCTCTGATTTTTCTCAGGGCCTTCACTGACCTATTTCATGCCCTCTTTAACCCTCCCTGTCTTGTCTATGAAAAGGCAACATTCTTCTTTAAGGGTTGTACACAGTCAAGAGCTGTACACAACCTTTTCTATTGTAATAGAGTAAATCAAATCCAATAAGGATCTTTGTGATTTTTGGAGGTCTCT